ATATCATCTTTTCCATTTTTTTTCTTCTCAAGGTGGTATTTTTTATTTACCAGATAAAAGTGAATAATAAAAATTACAATGTAATATATATATTCTTTGCATGTATAGTGTCCCTGACCTTTACTAAAATTTGATTTTTTTTTTCAATTAAAATTTGTATAAATTCAAAGCATTAATAAAATTTTCATTCGATTGTAGTAGTTATTAGCTACAATTAATATGTACAAAAACATTGAAATAAAAAAAAAAGAGTGACCAAACTATTGCATTGAGATGCAAAATTTTATTAGTTTGGTTGATCTGAAAATAGATTAGAAAAAAAAAATACAATATCAATTCTGGAGAAAAATGTATTCAAGACCTTTGCAAACTGTAGTTCTGTAACCTTGACCTTTGCAAACTGTAGCTTATGGCAGTATTAATTATTTATACGGAAAATTGTTATTATAACCCCGCCTGAAAAGTGGGAGAGTATATAGTGATCGGTATGTCCGTCCGACTGTACGTCCGTCCCTCCATCTGTCACGCTTAGGGGAACCCATCTCTTATCCGCAACTCGTCTTATACCACTGAACAAATATTTTTACTTTAACAAAATAGTTGTTACATATTGCCATTGTGCACCTACTTTTTTACTTCTTTATCGGACACATATTTTTGGTTTCCCATAGCAAAACGTGAGCGCTGTCATTCTTTCCAATGGGTACCCATTTCAAGATTATCTGCAACTCCTCCTATACCACTGAATAAGATTTAATGATACTTTCACAGATTCTTTATTGCATAATGCCATTGTGCACCTAGTACTTCACTTTTTGATTTTACACTTATTTTGAGTCTCCAAGAGCTAAACATGGACTTATTATAATCATGAGATGTGTGCATGTGGTATTATTTCGAGAGCTCATTGCTCAGAGTACCTCTAGTTTTTATTTGTGTCCAAATGCATCAATGTAGAAATTAAGAAGTGGACCGTTTAAAAAAAATATATCAATTTTTGCGATATATATTCGGTTTGATATAATTGATAAAATGTTGATAGGTTTTTGTCCATTTCTAAGGTAATTCTTTCAAATGTTTTAAAATAAACAGTAAACCTTGGATAGATTAATAATTAATTAATTATATGTTATCCTAGATGCGAACACACCCAAACGTTGGTCTCTTGGTGACTGCCTTGGCAAGAAAAACCTTCTTATATCGAAGGTTACCCATCTCAAGATTATCCGCAACTCCTCCTATACCACTGAATAAAAGAGGGTGTTGCAGAAACTCGCGATTATTCCCTATATATCGAGAAAGACATTTAAATACCCTCGTTATGTCTAAATATAGATACAGCTACGTAGAGGACTATGTTTACGGTGGGTATTTCCTGCTTGATACAGCAAAACACTTTCGTCATTTTTCACGAAAGAGGTTGGAACAACAAAAAGCACAGTGGCTAAAGCAGCATTTTGAAAGATATACTGTAGACATCGTGCGAAAATATTTTTTCATGAAATAAAACTGCGTCCCATAATCACACTGTTGGTTTTACGTCCAAGACATTTTATTTGTTTCATATAAAATTTTGGCTACTAGCTAAGATCGAGACCAAAATTGCAATAACTACAGTTTGTAAAATTTAAAAAAGAAAATATTTTATTTAAACAATACATTAACTTTATTTTCCAAGACAAAACAAATAAAGCATTAGTTTTAAGTCAAAGCATATCAAGGAAAACAATTTAATCCTGCATTTTAAATATAAAAATTAGTTATTACTCAATTAACGTCTTGATATATATATCAATCTCCTACCTCTCTTTAAAAATATGCGTAATTTCATTGCACTGAAATTACATATGGAAAAAAAAATGCAAAAATGATCTATACCAGGATTCGAACCCATTCTCTGGTAAAAGTACTAGGTGGAAGCCCACCAGCTTATCCACTGAACCATTTCGGACACGATGCTTCTTTGGTGTTATTTAAAGTTCAGATTTTGCATTTCGTTTGGAAAATAATTTTTATTCAATTTTTGCTTTTTTCAAAAATGTGCCTCTTTGAAACAAAAATCGGAAATGGCAGTTTTGAAGAAAATTCCTGCCTCTTTGTGTATATATCAAAATTATTTTGTTTCAAGGAGGCACTTTTTCAGAACAATGGGGATTCCCTATCTAAACAACGGAAAATCTTATATATTTTGCCGTAAGATTAATTTTCACATCATTTACTGGCGAAATGAAAGTCAATACACACCTTCCAAATATTGTTTCTCCTTGTGCTTTATATATTGTTGCATTTGAAAAAAATTAATATTAGTTTCTGCAACAAAAAAAATCTTCTTTTAATCTGCTACACATTTAGGGAAAATAACAAAAGAACTGCAACTCCCTCTTTAATGATAACTTAACAGATTCATTATTGCATAATGTCATTGTGCACCTAATACTTTACTTTTTGATTTTACACTTATTTCGAGTCTCCCAGAGCTAAACATGGACTTTGCCAGTATAATATATGAGGTGGGGTGTTATTAAGAGAGCTCATTGCTAAGAGTACCTCTAGTTTTTATTTGTTTCCACATGCATCAATCTAGTGGACTGTTTAAAAAAAGTATAATTTTTTGCGATGTATATATTCGGTTTGATATAAAACATACTAAGCAATCACATCCAAATCGATTTCAAAATTTAGGTTTATGTAATAATATTTCTAAGTCATTCAACAATGTTTTTCTTTCACTGAATAGTCAGTTTAATCAATTTTGAATAACAAGATAAGATGATATCTGCTGGTACATGATGGCGTCATTGGTTATTTGTAATAGTAGCCATGGCCGTCACTAAGTTCCTGGTGATACAGGAGAAGATCTGGCTGATACTTCAGCCCCAAGAGATTATTTATTAATTGATAAAATGTTGAAAGGTTTTTGTGCATTTTAAGGTCATTTTTCAAATGTTTTAAAATAAACAGCAATACATTTGATAGATTAATAATTAATTATGTTATCAAATATGAATATATTTTATTTTAGCTTTTTTTATGATGGGAGGTAGCGAACACACCCAAACGCTGGTCTCTTGGTGACTGCCTTGGCAAGAAAAACCTTCAAGTGTTAAGCCGATTCAAAACAAACCTTACAAGAAAAATAATTATTAAAAAAAGTATTTTACATTCATAGCAATTTTGTAATAATCCATTTCTATGTTTAGGAATTATAATTAAGTCACTTTAATAAATGCCAAATGTACATTTGCAAATATGTTTTTCCTTTCTATCGTGTCAAGGTAAATCACTTTCAATATTCCAATTTCTTGTACATTTAAAAAAAAGACCTTTTTCCTAGAAAAAAAAACGTACATACAGACACAAATCAATATAGATACGATTTGATTTTAATTCTTATAAAATTATTCTTGTATTTTTATTTATACACAAGTGCCATAAATAGTATTTAGCTTATTTGCAAAACTATGCTTGATTTACATGTAGATATTCGTACATTAATATTTTGCAGGAAATAAAGAATGCATGATTAATCTTAAATACATGTTTGAAGATTAGATTTCTTTACTAGCTGGAGAAAAAATATAACTTCTGACAGTTTCAATGGGTGTCGGAAACAGTTTCAAATCATACCGGTATTTAAACTTGTGATATCAAAACTATTGCACACATGCAAGGACATTAATTCCACAAGTACTTTTTAAGTAGCTCTTAAAAACTTAGGGAAAAAAATGTTTTTTGGACGAAATGAAAAAAATTTATGTCATAAAGGTGCACATTTTGGATTTATCTAAAATTCATTTTCAACGAAGTTTACTTGTCATATTTTCCCAGGTAGATGATTTAAAAGAACAAACTGTTGATGAACAGAAGCCACTCTTGTTTCCTTTATATGAAGAGACATATAAATGTTTCAATTATTCTATCCAGGTCTGATGTAATGTTAAGAATATTTTTCGCTGAATCTAAAACAAATTCTGTCATTTTCTGTAGATTTAATTTTTGTGTATTTCTTTTTAAATTAGAGGGCAAATCACTCTAACTACATCAAGCTATTTATCTTTAGAAGCTTTATTTAAAGAGAAAAAAAACCCAGAAATTACAAATCTTGATAATTAAACTAAGCGGGTTGTGATTTAATTATACTTATCAAATAAACACAGAGTACGCAACTATAACTTGATGACCGATTATGCAGAAAACGCATCGTAAGGTCGCGCCCGATAAAAAATGGGGTTGATGAATAATATTTAGGCCTAATGTTAAATGTTCATTTTAACTTAAAAGATTTTGTTTAAAGGGAAAAAAACTGTAACATTATGATGAACACATACATAACTGACACTTCCTTATCGTACGATTTGACTTCAGTTAAATAAAGTTATAAGAATGAGGATTTAGACTAAGAAATTATGAAAACTTACCTTGGGACACAACGGATCTTTTGTAAATATTAGATATTTTATTACAATAAATTATGTTTTTATGCTGCCAGCTATAATCAATGATACTAAAATCAGATTAAAACACTATACTGAATTTCCTACATATTTGAATAGGAAGATGAAGATTACCTTGAAACATATATAATGTTACTTAAAAGAATTTCCAGAGCGTAGGTGAACATGGGTTTTCTTATTTTAAAATAATTAACAGTGCTTAATGCTCTGCTTTCAGAAAAACTATTTTTCATTTACACTCTTTAAAGGCATCTTTTAATTAAAAGCGAGATGCAGGTAGAGGTAATACTGAAAATAAAATGTACCAAGGCAATCTTGATATTTTTTTTTAAATAAATAAATATGATTATATGTACCTCTGTAAATCAAAGTAAATGTTGAATTGAATTTTAGTAAATAATTATATTCAAATCATTCCACAAGAATAAATCGATTGTTTTTATAATACAAACGTAGGTATAAAGACATATTGTAATATACACCACGTGATGAAATCAACCAATGAAAATGCTTGGAATGACGTAGATGCGCTTTATATGCCCAAGACCTCCTTTTGTAGGTCATTTGATAGAGTGGTGCATTAAAGAGCGGCTGGTCCGCTTTATTTACAGGAATAGTGTATGTGTTTATGAGTAATTAGTAAAAATGGCTCCTAGTCCTGTCGAAGAGCTGGCTCTTTTGGACCTGGAAAGGTAGGTATTGGTTGTTGTAAAAGGATTTCAGGCATTTTAGTGATGGATAGTTAGGAAAAACAGGAGAATCCTTCAAGTATGTGTTGTGTGTGTATATGTGTGCCAGGAAAAAAGTCCGCCATTGAAGAAAAAATTGTTCCATTCTTTCAGATCAAACAAAGGCGCATCAAAACAACGGCGCGACCAAATTAACAATGAGATTGGAACCATGAGGGATCTCCTGCCCCTCCCTGAGAGTTCAAGACAGCGCCTCTCTCAATTACAAATTATGTCTCTCAGTTGTGTCTTCATCAGGAAATGTAACATCTTACAGAAACGTAAGTTTACAAATGCTGTTTATTATCAATTCTCATGACATCTATTACTTTTGAAACATAAATATCTTCTTTTCTTTTTATCGATGTTTTTAGTGTAAGCGTTATCTATCTATTTTCAGTATTTAATGCCACACCCGGTGGTTCGTCGGATTCACCTTGCGATTTTTCACAGGTAATTTGATCTTAGTTTTTACCTTCATAATCCTCTTTACTTACTCAAGTTCACGTGTGAAAAGAGTGGCCTTACATTTAAAATGTATAGAATTAGTGTGGGTATTTACCTTTCTCATAAATTCAGACATTTACGTCATAGACCTTCGAGGTCAATTTTTTTTCCGCTTCGCTGAGTGATGTATGGCATTCTCCTAGGGAGATGAATTTTTAATTGCGTATACGTAACATGCAAAATACGGGAAACAACGTACATATTAATTCAAAGGTTGACTAGGTATACGGAATAATCACTTGTTTCACATGTGTTATGTATGTGTAGGTCTCTCATGAACTTGTCCTATTTGCCTTCATAGCTACATAACAGCGAACATCTATATATAGCTTACATTGACGTCAGTGGTTAAATGGGGCCTTACAGATATAGAGGAAACGAGCTATCTATCCACAAGAGACTTTGAAAATTACATAAAAAATGTCTAACGAGTAAAAAAAAAAAACCAGTCTGATAGATAATAAAAATCAGGTCTTCCCTCGCCCACTTGATAAATTGTTCATTTTGCTTCGTAATATAGCATCAGAGGTGATCATAAAATTGTTATTAAATTAAATTTTGTAGTCCCTAACCGGGTTTCTGCTGGTAACAACACGAGATGGGAAATTGGTTTACATTTCGGAGAACGTTACGGAATACTTGGGCCATTCAATGGTAAGTAATAATAAACATATTTTAACTAACACCGCACCTTGCTCTAAAACATGCTAAATGACAACTTTCTGTAAACAATATTTTGAATAAAAAAAATTGTATTTTTCAGGTTGATATGAAAACACAAGGAGACAGTCTATTTGATATCGTGGACAAACGCGACCACGGAACAGTGCGCGCTCAACTCTTACACGGGGCCGGAGAAGTTGACCCAGACAAAGAAGTAGCCTTCTTCTGCAGAATGAACATGTCGAGAACCCTCAAGAGACAAGCTGGCTTCGGCGACGTCAAGGTAATATCTTGATTCAGTTTGTTTCTAAACACACTCTATAGCTATTCTCAGCCATTGTGGTGTTTGGTTTCACTAATGCGCTTGGAGAGTTTTCCTGTTAAACTTATGACGTCGTTTGGGGACAAAGCCGGATGTCCTCTTCACTTTATCTCTCATAAACTGTTACCTGTTTCACAAAGATATGGCAAGTTGCCAGGTTAAACTTTGGAAGCAATCCAGTATAACGTTTATCGATCAATGCGCAACTGAATGGGTCACACATAATAAAAACCCCTCAAAGAGCCCATTTATTGTAATTTTATAGCCCACCACTTTAGACGTAAAGAGATCTACTGTAATAGTGAAGTGTGCAACTTGAATGCGCGCTTTGCATAGCTCTATCGATTTTTCCCCCGTTTGTCTAGGTTTAAAAAAAAAATTGCGCTAGCGCAGGCATTTTTAATAAGTTAACCAATACATCTGAAAATTAGTATAAAAAACTATGGCATATTTTTGGACTACTGCCAAACTATAGCCTCGGGGAACGGACAAGAGAATGTATTGGTATGATTAATGATAGTTTCCGGTAACAAATGTACCTTGTCATTGCGTTTATTGCAAACGTTCCGGACCACTGCTTTCTCATTATCATATTTCCCAACGAGACGCCTTATTTTACCGTATATGTATTATTTTTTTAAGAAAATGAACCTGTAAGGTTCATAAGATTAATAAGTGTGACGCATAAGATGTATATGGATTTTCATCATCTAAAGTTATGCCTGCGGGGAATCTTAACCACAAAGGTGTAACAGTGTAACACAGGTAGAAAAATAAGATTTTGTAGCCAAGGTGACTAACCACATTTGCATTTACGCACCTGTTGAACACTTGAAAAACGAATAGTAGCAATTTAGTGAATTGTAAAAGACACTTAAGTTGTGTGTTAAAATTGTATATAGGACGTCATAAGCCAAAAACATAAAACAGAACATATGCTTCTGATAAGATTAGAGGGTTGGGGTGCCGCATTACATGAGAAAGAACACATGTTGTAGGAAAAAAGACCGTGGGAATTAACAATTTTTGATTATTTTTTTTTCATTAGGTGATGCATGTGAAGGGACACTTTGCTACTGTACCAGGGCAGGACCCCGGTACCGAACAACAGGTGTTCATGGCAGTGTGCTCCCCTCTCATCACACCAGACATCAAAGAAAGCCTCATCCAGAACAACACTATGGTTTTCAAGAGTGTACATCAACTCGACATGAATTTCATCGAGTTAACCGAGAACGGAGAATACCATCTTGGGGTTTCCAATGATGAAGTCTGCAACAAATCATGGTACTCTTATCTGCATCCCGAAGACATTTACGAAGCAAGAGAGAAACATGTGCAACGTAAGTTCATTATTTTCTCATTCTTCAGTTACATTATAGCATTCCGTTGTTTCATGTTGGTATGCATATCTGAATTGAAAATAACGTTTTGGAATTTTTCTTACAGTGATAAAATCCCGACATGAAATGGGATGCATGATGACTGTGCGCATGATCACATCAACTAATGAAATTATTTGGGTCAACATCGTCATGCACGTGCGCCAAGCCTTGTTGTCCAACAGTGATGATCCCGTCATCCTCTGCATCAACCAAGTTATCAGGTAATTATCCCAGTTCCTTAAAAATATCTCGTATGACAGAAATTTTAAAAAATGATTAATTTTCTTTAATTAATACACATTTTCAAAAATATATCGTGTATGTTTCAGTGAGAAAGAAGCCTACCAGTTCAAGGTCCAGGGACAGTTGTTTGCCCTGTATGCTGCCCGCTCCCCTGATTTCTTCTTTGGTACTGCTTTCTGTGCTCCTATCACACCCGCCATGGAAAACGTCATGTCCCCACCATCAGGCATTTTGCCATCACCCTTCTTCTCTCGTCAACAACCTTTCGACAACACGCTTCCTGCTCAAACGCCACCATTTATGCAGAATGCTGTTCCTCCAAACCAAACTGCCATGTTCATGAAGAATGGCTACCAACCAAATATCGGACGTCAGGGTCACACAGACACGCTGAAGGCTCTGAAGAGAAAGATTCAAGAAAACTACACTTGCAAACCACCAATGAAAGTTCCGAGAATGGTGAACGGCATCGCAAACAGAAACACTTACTCACCTCCACAAGACACTACCCCACTGCCTTCATCATTCGAAAGCAACATTTACAGAAATTCGTTCGGTCCTTTGGTCGGCGGCGGTGATCATCATCGCGGAATGGGACAAGGGCCCATGCAGGTCATGTACGCCCACAACCTTTCCACTGTTATGATGTCACCGAAGGAGAAGAGTTACATGCCAGATGTTTTCCCGCACAAACCCATGTACGAAGAAAAATGCCTAGAGCAAGTTGTTCCTGACGTCACCGTTCCCGCTTGCTATCTCACACCAGAGCCTTCACCAGTTTCCTCACCGGAACCACCAAAGAAATGTGAATCAGTTCATACTGTTAAAGACGGCAAATTAATTGACCCAGTGCTAATCGCCAAACACCTTTGTGCTTTAAAACAAAAACAGCTTAACCCAAATTCGAACATGAATCCAAATGGTGAACCACGCAAACTCTTGCCGAGCCTTGACGCATTCTACGTTGACTCATTTTTCAATGAAATTGACAATGTTTCGCTGACGAGAGAAGAAGAAATCCGCCTGCTTGAAAATGTTGCGAAGGAGAAAGTCACCATCAAGGAGGAACCCATTGATCAAGATACCTGCAAAGAAACCACCGAACCTCTTACGAATGGCTTCGATATCGAAGAGTTCTTACAATTTACAGAGAAATCCAAAGACGAGGTCGTGCAGGTCAAAGTGGAATCTCGAACTGACGACCAGCAGGTCATGAGCTTCGAGAATTCTCCATCTCCTTCCTCTCCCTACAGCACAATCAGCGCAGCAGACGAGAAGTTCAGCAGCGATGACCTTTCATCATTTGCACTTACGCCGGAATCAGGCTTTGAGAGCGATTCCTTGGATGACGTTTTGGATCCTGACTGCTGGGACTTGGAGTCAGTCAAAATGGACATGTCAATGACGTCCACACAGCCGACTCTTCCCGCATTTAGGATGACCCAAGACCTTCATCCAGAACCTGAGTTGTATCAACTCAAACAACTCATTTCCTCTTGCACGCCAAGTGGTAAGTAATATTTTTTATTATATCAATTAAAATATTTTCAGAAATTTTTAAACAATATTATAAAGTCAAAATGCAAAGATTTTCACGCTTTCTTATTTTCTTTTGTAGGCATGCAGGATTTCACCGAAGACTCCCAGTAGGCCGTTGTGTAAGTTCCGACTTACGATTTTCCTTGTGTATGGCATATTGCCATTTTCTTTCTACTATTTCGTCATCTCCATGCAATCCGCAGGACCGGAGGTAGCCATAGGATTTGACCATTCCGCGAGCCGGAATTCAAACATTTTCGCTGTTTGTTTATATATTTTATGTAAAAAGAAATCGCTGGACGATTTTGTGCAAAGTTCAACGTGTACGTTGATACTGGACACTTTTTTTTATCTTTGATACACTTAATTATTTGTATATGTACTGTTTTTACTGTACTTTCTCGTTTGTTTTGGATGATTGGGCTGGTCTCATCATCTCTTAAATGTGTAGATTTTGAAGTTATCAAACATCTATATATTTTTTGTCAAACGGTATTGTGTAATTAGATCGGTACTTGTACTCTCATTATTTCATTGTAGATTTTTGAAGTTATCAATTATCTATGTCATCTTCATCCCATCATTTTCCCTTTCATTAGCGCTGGTCGTTAATGAAGCCCCCCTCTAAAGATGAAGAATTTGTTCTTGATTTTGACAGAATTTTAACAACACGTTTGTTGGCAATTTTCTTGACTTATCATCAACATTTATCTTTAACGCCGTAATGGCGAACAGGGCTGGTCCCTTCTCCTTGAGGCTGGTACTCAAGCTTTTCTCATGTTTTTAAAATTCATATTTTGCTTAATAGCGTCCACTGATATCCCGCTGGTTCGGGTATCTTTTGCATTTTTTATTGTATCTTATTTTCTGTCCATAAAGTTTGCTTTACTAGGAATTGTACGTTTCAGTTAAGCATGTTTTGATTTTAATAAACATTTAAAAGATTTGTTATTGTGGTTGAGTTGTCAATGAAGAAAATTGACCTATGAGCCTAGACAAACCTATAACATATAACAGACAAACAGCTGTTCATAAACAACAGAATTTCAAAAGGAATGGCGATGTCAGAATTATATAATAACAATTACCGAAAAAAGACCACTTCAGCAACTTGCCAAGTTGTTTCAGAGAAATTGATTTCTAAAAAAAAAAAAAAAAAAAAAAAAAATTTCTTCGCACTTAAAGGGTGCGTATGAGTAGACGTATCTGACAGTAATCAGCAGCGACTGATCCTCATCAAAATAAGGTGTGTTTTGAAACGTGTGTTCGAGGACACTTCATTGGAGCTTTGTCCTGTTTTACATAAGATAACTTACGTCTTACATAAAATAACTTGCGTCAAAAAGACCTAAAATCAACATTTTATTTTTACTTTTTTAAGGTCAATAACTCTGTTATTTGAAACGAGTTACATGTATTTGGTTGGTTGAATTCTATATTACATTCTGAAAGTCCTGATGTTTTAAAACTATGTTTATAGATAAAGAAAGGTTACAGTTGTACTGTCTTCGATATAAATGTGTTGAGTATAAAACCTTTGGAACTAGACAATGGTTGTTTATATAAATATATTTAAGGGCAGTTGATACAAACAAAAATGTATGCTTGCATGGATTTGGTATTCATTATTTTTCCTATTTTGTTGCAAATGAATCAAATAATAATTTTTCAAAATATTAAGTTGTAAACTTTTAATGATATTCAAAATTATATCTCTCTGCAACCACCCTTATCTATCTATACATTTTCTTCAATTCAAATCCCATATTTTGTGAAACTTTGAATATAAATTTATAACTTTTCCATTTCAAACAGATAAACATAATTTATAGTTATTATTTTCAAATTTTGACAATAGTTTGTATCATCTGTCCTTCTGCACATTTGTCAAGAAAGATGCATCGCACATTGTTTCATACCCCCGCTTAAAAAATCGGACGGTATATAATGATCGGGATGTCTGTCCGTCTGTTAATGAAACTTTCACTGAACCTTTGTTTCAAAGAGCCATTGTACACCTCCTATATACTTTTTGATCGGACACATGTTCTGGGTTTCCAATAGCAAAACATGGACAATATCATTCTTTCTATAACACTGAAGGGTACCCATCTTTTATCCGCAACTCCTATACCACTACATAAGATTTACTGATACCTTCACAGATTCTTTATTACATAATACCATTGTGTACCTCTCATTTTACTGTTTGATATGACACTTATTTTGGGTCTCCCAGAGCAAAACATGGACCTTGCCATTATCATCATATGAGAGGCGGGGGTATCGTTGAGTGAACTTGAAAAGCTCACAATACCTTTAGTTTTATGTATACAAAAAGAATGCATGGACCTCACAGAAAGTGAATACTGATATTAGATGGGTTTGTTGCTCCATATACATTGTATACAACCCAAAAAAGAAAAATAAGACATTGCTTTAAATTGTTGCTTAACAGCAGATATTTAGGTTCCTGAAACACTCTTTGAAAGCATGAACTTATCATTTTATCTCTAGTCTTGGAAGGAAATCCAAACTCATTTGGACATAATTTTCCCCGTTTTAAGATTCGAAGGGGAAACATTATCGGTCAAGTGCTTTTTAGAAGTGAAAATTGAAAATGCATTAGACCAACAGAGAACAGGCACTGTCTCTTCTATTAGGAGAGACAAGAGGCTTACATGATCTAATTAAACCCCACAGAGATTATTCTTCAATAGGTTTAAAGGAATGCCTAAGATCTTTGAGAATATAATTGATACAGGATTGGTTAATTGCAATTGGCAATCATTCAAAATAAAAAGTCAAGCATATATTGGGTAAAGGTCAGAAAAAATCCATCGCAACCTTTTTGGACATTCGGATCACCACAACATATACAACCTCAAGATGAAAACACACGGTTGGTTTGCTTTAAAACGGTATACTGAAGTCAGCAAACGCGGCCCCTGAAAAATTAAGCTTTCAGTAATAATGATGTAAGAGGATAAATTATCAAAACATTATCAATCATTTTGAGATAATGAAAGTGACACATTTTAAAAAATAATATCACAGCAATATAGGACCATTTATAAACTGATATAGTTTATGTCATTTATCACGAAGGGTATGACAAACATATCAATTTTCAAGTATTATCAATAATTTTCAGGCATTAATGGTGACACAGATGTCCAGTAATTATCAACATTTTTTGTGAGAAGTCAGTAAATTTGTATTGTAGAAGTACTTTTTTCTGCGTAGTATTAATTTACGCTATGTACTAGTATACGGTCTGGAATTTTCCATGGAAATTTATCCCATCGTATTTAAGGTACATTGAAGAAGTAAAGTTGCAGTCTAAGAAATCTGCGTAATGTCCTATCCACAAATAGAAAAGAATGTGTTTCCGTGGAAATATGACCCAGCTGGAAAAAGTTCGTTTATAGTAATAAGAATTGAAAGATGTTTTTATTGTACGTAAATTTAGCATTAACCAGACATTTTCAATCATAACCGAGCCCAAGCAAACCATCTGTTCTGAAATACTAGTGAATGTCCCCTCTTTTTCTCCTATTAAAGTTTGGAAAAAATAACGGACCAATGAAAGGCCCAAAACGGTCATATTCACAGATACATAAAGCTAAAATAAAATGTGGCTGAATCGATTTTTTTTAAACAAAACCATAAAAAGGAAATATTTCTCATTCCAACGTAGAAGGATTTTCGCTTGAGCAAACCACTCAATTAAGCCCATCAACAAAATTGTATGAGATTTTGTAATAGTGTCAGCAACCTAACTGTACTATGAGCTAGCTCACAAAACAAAACCCTCCACCCTGGGGCTGTAAAAGCCCTCAATATTAACGGACCAGTCTCAAATTAAACATTTTTTTCCTGAAATAAACATCTCTTTATGTTCGGCGTAGCAGTAAACATCTTCTTTAAGTAAATATCAGCACAAAATGTAATTTTTGATAATTTGCATAGGATATTCAGTATCTCTCGTCTGAACCAAAGAGCTGGTCCTTCGAAAGAGACCGAATAAACTAAGGTCCTGGATCGTAGTAAGTACTGGTACAAGAAAGATCCATCACTGCTCAATGGTCGTAAGTGCCAATTATAGGTCAGAATTTGTTGCTCTTCACAGGCAAGTGACGACGTCTCCACATGAGTAAAAAATCCTTAAGGGACGTTAAACAACAAACAATCAATCTAAACCAAATAGTGCCCAGTGTCCTCCCCTCTCTCCCTGTCTTGAGTCTTCATTTTCCCGACTTCGCCCGACCCACTATCAATTCTGGCTATAAATGATGGAATAATAAAAGGTTCATGGACCACAATGATCACCTGAGCAAATATAACCCTACTGTTCTTCGGAGTTTTTAATTTTGAATTTATAACGGAAAAAAAATTCTAATGTAGAATAGTTAGAAAAGAATTGAACAAAAGCAAAGTTCCAAAATTTTAATTGTTGGCTATAGTTACATGCATTTCGAAGTGCGTCGTATATGAAGTGTGGTATTTTGCATTAAAACATTTCGCGATAGAAAATGGGAAATCCATTTGTTTTAGAAAGGAAGCAAATACCAATTGATCAATATTATGCTTTCAACATTCCAATAAATAAGGCTTTTTGACGTATAAAAAGAGAAAGACTGTAATTTCTAGTATTTCACTTGGTGAACCTTTCACTTTGCGTCGACGTCAACACATTGTGTAATATCTGGCGGAAAATAGAACGATTCTTACAATTTGCTGCTTTAAAAAAAACATGCTAATTGCAGGGTGGGCAACTTGATTGTTATAAATGTCATATTTCTATGCTTATTGTTCCTGAAGTGTAGTTGAATGACACCATTAATGGCTTTGATTTACTTATATGTCGAACATTTTCGTTTTTTTCTAAACATCTGACATAAATTGATTTTTCAATTTTTCGTTGTGATTTTGACGCAATATTTAAAATACAGTTCATAGCATATTTGACCATTAGTATATTTTGCGTTGTTGCAATGCAAAAAAACAAATATTATTACAGAGAACAGTTGTATGTTCTGAATCATCAAGAAAAAGGGTGATTCTCGTGTCATTTTAAAGTGTGTTATATAATCATAAGGAAAACATTCATTTTTCTTCCCGAAAATTACTCGATGTTGAATTAATGTTTCCTCATTTACAACTTAACCTAAAAATGCATGAGTATTCCATCCATTCACTTGCAATTCATATTGACAAGCATGTCTTTCTAGACAGAGCAACAACTTATCTTGTACACCTTCCATCTACGTTTATTCCTTTCCTAAAGCCTCTTCAACATTACATGATCTATCAAGGAATGCAAGAGGCAAGTCAAGCATCTTGGAGGAAGGAGATCTACAAGTCATATTAATAATAGTTAATTTTACTTTTCCCTTTCCTTCAACTCCAAAGTTCTTTTAGTTGTTTGTTTTTTAAATCCAATTTTCTACAAAACTAGAAGTACTATGAGCAATAAGCTCATAAAATGATGCCCCGTATTCCCATAAAAAATAACAGAGTCAATGATTTCTTTTACGAGAAAGATCAAATATATGTTCGATGAAAATGTGAAACAAATAGTTAAGAGATAAGTACACACAAACGTATTGGACGGGCATACACGCCTATTACCATATCGTGTAAAATGCCCCGAGAAACCAATTTGTCGTCCGAGATATCTTAGGATATCGTCCACAGAAACTTTCTATTCGCCGCAGCACTGGAAGTCCACCGATGTTGTCCCTGATTACCAAACACAAACTTCCTGTGTAATGTAACGTGTACACAGGTTTTTGACATCTTGGGTATTGGGGGTCTCCAGGTAAATAACACCACTGTTACTTCGACCACTCCCCCTCCTCAAGTAACCGTGCGGTAAAAAAACAAGAGGCCCATGGGCCACATCGCTCACCTGAGAAGCTTTGACCATTCTGTTCTTTACCAGAT